GCTACTAATGCAGTGTTGTCACGTGTCTCCTTAAAGTCCTTGATAGCATCTCCGCCTTTGTTCCAGATCCCGCCGCCCTGGATCATACATTTCATTAAGTCCTTGTCCCTCAGATGTCCTTTGTCTTTCATGAGATTGACCATTTTTGCAGAGTACAGGCTTTGCCTGCTTCCCTACATTTCTATTACAATCGTGCAATTTCGGCAGGAACTCTAAGAATGAGGAAGTGGGGCATTCTTCACAGAGCATTGCGGTGATGGGTACAAGAGGCCGGCCTGTTCCATTGTGGGGGATGTTCACTTTGGTGGCTTGGTTAAGGTGGTACCTGCCAGATCTGAAATGGTTAATATTATGCTCCCCAATAAATTTCACGGGGCCATTTTTGCACCCGCTCATCATTCTTACTGAATCCGTTTGCATGGCTGAGGTTGCAGATGGCTTTCTGCTTTTGTTAGTTGGAATCCCACTTTAAACAATGGTTTTGTCCTCCACTACATATATATATATATACATACACACACACATACATACATATATATTTATATTTATTTATCTATGCATGCATTTGCTTGTAAGCATCAGTATAGGGCTTGTAGATTCTTTTCTTTAAATGGGTTCTTACATATATATACATTTATTTGTAAGCATCAGTATAGGGATTGTAGATTCTTTTCTTTAAATGGGTTCTTACTCATCACCCTCATTATTCATTTAAATGCTTATATTGTCCTTAAGTGGCCCACTGGCTACTCCTTCAATCGCTTTCCTGAGTTCTTTTGACCTAGCCCCCACCACTTTGTGGATCCTGTTCATTCTTTAGGCCTTACCATACCTAGGTGGTAAAATGTGGCTCTCATTCAAATGACACATTTTATTCTTGCAACAAATATTGCCATGACCTTGTTTCTGGTCTTACTCATGGTCCAACGAGAGGCCAGGCGATTGATTTGATCTTTACAAGTGTTGAGTTATGATGTGGGCCTCCGTGGGAAAATCTTGTAGCTACAATGGGTCCATCAAAGACTCCTGAGAAAAGGCCCATCACTTCCTTGACCTAAAAGGTATTGAAATTAACATGTGAGGAGGAAGCGCAATGTCCCCAGCCAAGGGGAGCATGTATTCCTTTGCAGATTTGGAGAAATGTGGTCCTTATAGACCAGTGTATGTGTCGGTGGGCTGGGGGGGAGGGGGGGGTTGGGTGTGCAGGCGTAGTCTTCTGAGTTGTATGAAGGACCCTGGCACGTTGCTACCCTCAGAGGAGCAGTTCTAACCCAGGCAACACATCAGCATGGTCTAAGGAGTCGATCAGAAATATCTATCACAAACTAATTAAATAAGGCCCCTGGGAGCAAGCCTTGGATTCGTACTTTTAATTCACATATCTCAAGAATTTATCACGCAGGATGACCATGGAGGTAAACCCTTCAAAACCCAATTTTAAAAAGATTTATTTTATTTTACAGGATTTTGAACTGAACAACGAATTAAAGATGAACGTCCTAAATTTATTAGAAGAAGTTTTGCGGGACCCGGACCTCCTTCCCCAGGAAAGGAAAGCCACGGCAAATATTCTGAGGTAAAAGCAATTGCAAACGCCTCTTGAAGGGCATGATAGCAGGAAGGACCAGTCCCTGGAGAAGAGCATCCTGCTCAGTAAAATAGAGCGTCGTCGAGCAAGAGGAAGACTCTTGGGCTCAGATACATCTGCAGGAGAGCAGGGGACCAGGCCACGGGTCCTTCTGTTGTCTATAGGGGTTGCTATGAGCCGGAACAGAGTCTGGGGCACCTAGGAGAAATACTGTGGTTCTTGAAGTCCCTCCCTGAGGCAGCAATGCCCCTTTGTGCCTTTAACTTCAGAACAGCTGGCCCATAAGCCACTCTCAGGTCTTATTACCCCAAGATCCCTTACCCAAATCCCTCTCTACTCTGTCCCACTCTGTGAAGAAACCTCACTGTTGGAGTTCTGACTCATGGTCACCCCACGTGTTACAGAGTTGAACACTCTGGAGCGATTTCTTGTCTACAGCCTTTATGGAAAGACTGTGGGGATGGGGCAAGACCAGGCAGTGTTTCGTTCTGTCCTATTGTGCCTGGGGTCGCTCATGAGTTAAAACTGAGTTGACGGCTCCTAACAACCACAACAACACAATCTTTTTTTTACGCCCCAAAAATCTATTTGCTGTCCTTTTTTTTTTTTAAATCATTTCATTGGGGGCTCATACAACTCTTATCAAAATCCATCCATCCACCCATTGTGTCAAGCACATTTGTACCTTTGTTGCCATCATCATTCTCAAAACATTTGCTTTCTACTTGAGCCCTTGGTATCAGCTCCTCATTTTTCTCCT